AATTGAAAGGAAAATGTGGGCAGTTTTGAAGCTTTGCCTCTTATTCTGACCTACGCCTCAAAAGGAGCTGAGCCATTTGTGAAAATTTTCCTTTTACATAAGTGTCTCTCAGATGCAAATAAATGTATTTGTTTTATAAGGAAAACACCACGCTTTATTAGTGCGGTGGCACTAATGGGCGAATCCTTTGCAGCTGTGGATGTATTTCTGTGGTTCTTTATTCTTTTTCCAAGGCGTGGTGCTTGGTGGGAGAGCTCTCTGAAGGCAGGATGATCAGAAGCAGGAGTGGGCCAACTGTTGGCCCATTTTGGTCTGTTAAACCATCTTATATGCCTGGATGGAACTGTGTCAGTGAACTGGTGGGCCAGTCTTTCCATTTCATTTGTACATGGAGCTAACAGTGGTGAGCCAGCGCCCAGACATAGGCAGGTCCACAAGTTTCTGTTTCTAGATGGCGCATAATTAGAGTAGCCAAACAGCACATCATCCATGTCGTGAAGCCAGGCTGTCGATGTGGTCTGTGGTCCATGAAAGCCTGATGGAGCTACTGAATAAGTTTCAAGAGGTGTAAGTCAGCTGACCTCAATTCATGCCTTGGCGTCTCCATTCACTAACAGAGTATTCAAATGAGGCTTATTTTATTTATTAACTATTTTTGTTGTGTTTTGATTTTGAGATTGGAGTGTTGTGTAGCCCTGACTGTCTTGGAACCTGCTCTGTAGACTAGGCTGGCCCTGAACTCAACAGTAATTCTCCAGCTTTGGCCTCCCAAGTGCTGGATTACAGCTGTATACCACAATGCCTGGCTTTGATCTTGAAAATGATAGTAATTCAACAAATAGAGATTATATTATGCTGCCATTCTTACTGCCTGGGGATGATTCTGATACACTGTATTTGAAAAAGTCAGTACACCCAATGGAATTTAACCCTTCCAAGAACACTAAATAGTGTGTATATATGCTTAGTCTAAAAATTACTTATACGCTCTTTTTGGTCTAAAAAGTGTAACTTAATATTATGTAATCAGAGCTAAAGACAGCTTGCTGAGATGTAGAGCGGCAGCCCTGTATGCCTGACTCCCAAGCATTTCATTTATTTATTGTTCTTATTGGTAATTCTGAATATATTCAGACCTGTTACAATGGATCTTTTTCTACGAGAAAAACAGACTATTGGGCCACAGGTGGTTTTCATTTTTTTTTTTTTTTTTTTGTCTGCAGAATGTGGGTTGACAGCCTTTGAAATCTTAATGCTGTGTATAATGTGCAGGTGCTTTTTTGTTTATAGAAATGCCTAGTCCTTGTTTGAGATTTATTAAATGGTGTACCATCTGTAAGCCTCCCTAAATTCCATAGACTAATTAGCCTTTAAAGTTGCCTTTTACCTAACTTGTAGTATAAATTCTTCCATCTGGGAACCTTCTCTTTTATGTGTTTGCTCAGTGTTCCATGTACTTTAGCACTCTAGTATTAAGTATTAATTATGGACACTGGCTTTCCCAGGAACAATGAAGCTGACTAAAATTAACGTTCAATGGAACAAAGTGCTATTGTTCTGGGAATGTTTTGAAACTGATGAGTAACCAATTTGTTATGGTCTTGTTCCTTCCCTCCACACCTCTGCCCTCTGCCCTGTGTGTGTATGTTTGGGATTACTTTGATAGTAGTTGTAATGCAAGCAGTCACGTTGCTTGGGAGTAATAACAAAAACAATTGTAGACATATAAAGAGCTGGGACTATAGCAGATGATGGGTGTGTAAGATCATGTGACGTTTCAGTTAAAGAGTAAAAAGAAGAGAAAGCTCTGTTGATGGCCCATGTAATGCTTTTTCTTGTGGGGCATGAAAGATGATTGACAGTATTTGATGTTGGGGAAATATAGGTCCAGTGATAGTGATTAAAGCTGTATATATATTTGGCCCTTCATTTCCATGGGTTTTGCATTTATGGATTCAACATACTGAGGTGAAAAATAGAAAACGGAAGTTCCGTTCCATCTATACTACAAATGTGTAGAACTTTGTTTCAGCATAACAGCTGCTTACATTATGTTAGTTTAGGTAATCCTGAAATGGTTTTGCAGTGGTTCTCAACCTTCCTAATGCTGTGACCTTTTAATATAGTTCCACATGTTGTGACCTCTGGCTATAAAATTGTTTTATTGCTACTTCATAATTAATTTTTCTACTGTTATGAATTGGAGGGAGAGATTTGCCAGAGGATTCACGACCATGGTTTAGAGTATGTAGGGAGGTAAGTAATTTTATAAAAGAGACTTGAGCATTTGCAGGCTCTAGTATCTGGAGTTCTAGAACCAATTCTTTATGAATAAAACTGAGAGAAAATTGTATTCACCTTAGAGACTTAAAAGACACCTTAAATATTTAGAATTTTTACTTTATTGTTATGTATGCATGCTTGGTGTGTGTGTGTGTGTGTGTGTGTGTGTGTGTGTGTGTGTGTGTCTGAGCGCCAGTGCTCCCTGGGCTGTGTGTGCACATCAATGGCATACATGTTGAGATCAGAGGACAGCTCTGTGGAGTTGGCTTTCTCCTCCCACCCTCACTGGTAGTGGGTATTAGACTCAGGACTTGGGCCCCAGGCTTGTGCAGCAAGGGCAGTACCCACTGAGCCAGCGCACTGGTCCAGACTTCTCTCTTTTTTAATTTTTTTATTAACTAATTCAATTTACATCTTGGTCATAGGCCCCATCCTCCCTCCTGCATCCCCTCTCCCCTATTCCTGAGAATGAGGGAGCCCTCTACCGAGTCACCCCAGCTCATCTATTCATGTGAGGACTGAGTTCATCTTCCTCCCCTGTGGGTAGGGAAATCCCGTCAGGGGAAAGTGATCAAAAAGGAGGCAACATAGTCCAAGTCAGAGATATCCCTCACTCCCCTAACTAGTGAGCCAACTAAGATGCCCATTGGACTTACCTTCTTGTGGTCTGCGCATTGTAGTATGTCTATCCTGTACTGTATGACTAAAATCTGCTTGTAAATGAGTATATGCTATGTGTGTCTTTCTCGGTCTATGTTACCTCACTCAGTATGATCTTGTCTAGTTCCCACCATTTGCCTGCAAATTTTATGTTTTCCGTGTTTTTAATGGCTGAGTAGGATTCCACTCTGTGAATGTACCACAGTTTCTTTATCCATTCTTCAACTAGAGAAACATCTAGTTTCTGCCTATTATGAATTAAAGCTGCTATGAACAAATGTCCTTGTTGTATGGTGAAGTGTCTTTTGGGTATATGCCCAGGAATGGTATAGCTGGGTCTTGAGGTATGACTATTTATTCTTAGTTTTCTGAGAAAGCTCCAGAACTCCTGCAGCTAATAAACTCCTTTAGCAAAGTGGCTGGATACAAGATTAATTAAAAAAAAAAATCAGTAGCCTTCCTGTATACAAATGACAAACAGGCTGAGAAAGAAATTAGAGAAACCACACCCTTCACAATAACCACAAATAACATAAAGTATCTTGGGTTAACTCTAACCAAGGAAGTCAAAGACCTGTATGACAAGAACTTCAAGTCTTGAAGAAAGAAATTGAAGAAGACACCAGAAGATGGAAAAAATCTCCAATGCTCATGGATCAGTAGGATTAACATACTAAAAATGGCCATCTTACCAAAGGCAATCTACAGATTCAATGCAATCCACAACACAATTTAAATAGACCTGGAAAGAACAATTCTAAACTTCATATGGGAAAACAACTGAGAATAGCTAAAACAATCCTATACAATACTAGAACATCTGGAGGTATCGCCATACCTGACTTCAAACTATGCTGTAGAGCAATAGTAATAAAAACTGCATGGTATTGGCATAGAAATAGGCTGGTTGGTCAATGGAATCGAATCAAAGACCCAGAAATAAACCTACACATCTGTGTACACCTAATTAATTTTTGACAAAGGAGCCAAAACCATACAATGGAAAAAAGACAGCATCTTCAACAAATGATGCTGGTCTAACTGGATGTCTACATGTAGAAGAATGCAAATAGATCCATATTTATCACCTTGCACAAAATTCAAGTCCAAGTGGATCAAAGACTTAAATATAAAACCAGATATACTAAATCTGCTAGAGAAGAAAGTATGTCTTGAACTCCAAGAGACAACTTCTTGAACTGAACAACAGCTTAGGCTCTAATATCTATAATTAATAAATGGGACCTCTTGAAATTGAAAAGTTGTTGTAAAGCAAAGGACACTATTAATAGAACGAAACGGCAGTTTACAGATTGGAAAAAGATCCTACATCCGACAAAGGGCTAAGATCCAGAATATATAAAGAACTCAAGAAACTAAATACCAGCAAACCAAATAATCCAATTAAAAAATGGGATACAGAGCTAAAGAATTTTTTTTTCTAAACAATTCTTAACAGAGGAATCTTGAATGGTGGAGAAGCACTTAAAGAAAAGCTCAACATCCTCAAAACGACTCTGAGATTCCATCTTATGCCTGTCAGAATGGCTAAGATCAAAAACTCAAGTGACAACACACACTAGCAAGGATGTGGAGAAAGGGGAACACTCCTCCCTTGCTGGTGGGAGTGCAACCTTATACAACCACTTTGGAAATCAATCCTTTTCTCTTTTAAGATAGGGTCAGATTGACCTCAACTTGTAGCAGGCCTGCTGTAACCTCCTGGAGTCCCTGGGCTTTTCAGTGTGAGCCATCTCAAGTGGCTCCTTTGAAGCACTTTCTGAGGGAGTTTCTAAAGGGCCAGTTAGATGTTCAACAGTGTGCTTCAGAAGGCACTGGCGGTTAGGATTTAGAAATCCCTTTAACTCATTTGATTTGAGCATGCTTAATTTGAGCAGTATATTTAAAACTTATTTTAAAATAACTACCAACCTATATTTTGACCAAAGTTGTTTAAAAATAATCTGAAAAAAAAAAAAAAAAAACAGTGGGTTTTGATAGTTTGATGTAGTTATAAAACCAGTGTGATGAGCAGTGTAACTTGTGATTTCTCCTAGATTGCTGTGCTGAGGAGACAGCAGCGCATGATAAAGAACCGAGAGTCTGCCTGTCAATCACGCAAGAAGAAGAAGGAATATATGCTAGGACTGGAGGCCAGGTTGAAGGCTGCCCTCTTGGAGAACGAGCAGCTGAAGAAGGAGAATGGCTCTCTGAAGCGACAGCTGGATGAGGTGGTGTCAGAGGTGAGTGCTAGTGATCAGCTGGCTGAGGGGGGAAACTGATTTTCTTTTTGATAAGTAAATTGGTAATTACTTTTAAAATCATATAAAATAGTAGAAAATGGGGGTTCAATAAACACAAAATATTTACAGTGAGAACAAAATTGTAACAGTGACCTTCTGAAGATGTCTTTCCCCCTGTGGGGCTGAGAATTGAGCCCAGAACCCCCAGCATGCTAGGCAAGCCTTCTAGCACTGAGCCACATCCCAGCCTGCAAGGGGACATTCATCAGTCTGTGGTATGAGAAGTCATTAGGAGATGGTTTCACACTATGTCCTTTTAGCAGAATAATAGGTGTAAGTTCTTCTCCAGGGATTATGACCTGTGTACAGGTTCTTAGAGCAATAATGGTGCCAGGTATGGGCTTCTCTTGTAGAGCAGTACTAAAATTCAACCAGAAAGGGTTTGATTACTCTGATGACATCTGTGCCACTATTGCGGCAGTGGACTTATTTTTCCAGGCCAGTGATAGTTGTAGCTCACAGGGTTCTCAGGGTAAAGTTGACGCTTCCTCTCTCCTTCACTGGTATGCATTGCCCTGTCCAGCACTATGAAAGCTGGCAAGTTGGTATGAAGATACCAGGTCAGCACCAGCTTGAGTTCTCAAATGTTTTATGACTCAACTATGTGGTGTCTTCAGCAACAGGGTCGTACTGTAGAATTCTGGAGGGAAAGCAGTAAGTTGACAATAGCCTGTAATGTTTGGGGCTCTGTGGGACTTCAGTGGTCAGTAACTCCAAAAGTAACTGCTTCCTGGCACGGGGCTTTTTACTTATTGGCTTGTAGTGTCTAATTGGGACATTGTTGCCTCATTATAGGGTAACTCTATTTTAAGTCTTTTTGTTTTCCCCTTTAAAAAGGGAAATAATACAAAATGTTGTAGATCTTTGTCCACTTAACCCCTATCATGTTCCTATGCTTCCTGTTACCATGCTAGTCTCTTGTGCTTTGTTCGTGGAACCCACAGCAATGTGGTCCTGAACCAGTGGATGCCGTAGAGGGCTGCTTCTTGCGCTGTTCTTTGTGAGTATGTGGCAGTGCTCACGTGGGCTGCTGAGTGCAGCACCTTAGAAGACAGGGAGCCAAGCAATGGAAGCATCTCTTGTTCTCTTGTAATTCTTTCCTCTATTGGAAGAGAGAATGCAAAGACCTTCGTCTTTTGCAAAGTTTTATTTCTTTAACTTTAAAGTGTTTTTATTTTTTTATGAGAAAAGGTATTCATATGATTTGTACAAAGGAAGATTCTTAGTTACTGCTCTTTGTAATGTTGACATGTACTTTCATCCTATTTCATTTCCTTTAGAACCAGAGGCTTAAAGTCCCGAGTCCAAAGCGAAGAGCTATCTGTGTGATGATAGTATTAGCATTTGTAGTGCTGAACTATGGGCCCATGAGGTGAGTATGAAAGTGTTTTGGATACAAATACTAAAATTTAAGTGCTAGTTACTTGTTACTATTTAGCTCTACTTATAAACAAGAGGAAAACTCATTTGTTTTGAACAAAACCCAGCCTTCCAGATATGTGAAGAATAATTGGACAGGAGACAAGTGCCTTCACAGATCTCAGGATACAATGGGAAGAAAACCATGTTAAGGGGTAGTTAGACATGATGGGTGTGTGGCAACAGTTTGGACAGAATGCTGATGGACTGTGCCAGGGAGGGTGAGCTCCTTAGCATGACAGTTTATGGTGCAGCGTAGGTGCACAGAGCATGGTTTTGTTGAATGACGGAGTGAGAAGAAGAGTAGCCAGGAAGAGATCTCAGCCTTGATTTGTGACACTTGTTTGCCAAGTGGGAAATATGGGAAAAGCATGTCAAGCAGAGGAAACAGTATGTTAAAAGCATGCCTTTAAAATGGTGTGTTGTGCCATTTTTTTTAAGTGAAAGTTGAGTTTGTATAGCTACGTGATTTTGTCTTGTGTTTATGTGTATGTAATTTGTTAAATTATGTTTACATGAAAGGAGCAATATGTGCATTTTTCAAAGTGCTTTCTCATTTTTAACTATGTTAGCATATGATTCTTTTAGTAACTATCATATTTTGAAGTATAGATACACTATTACTTGCCATATTTCAGAAATGTTATTAACCTAGGAACCGGTTTATACTCTTAAAGTTAAAAGTTACTGGGAATTGCAAAGAAATTACATTTATTGATGTTTAGTGTGTTATATTCTAAATAAAACAGATTTTCAATGTGTGTTTATATAATCATAAATCATTACATGTTAAATAATTAATGCTTAAATCTTCAAATATTTAATGATGGAAAAGAGAGTGTGTTGTTTCATATTTTTGTGCAGGTATTTAGTGTATGACCGACTAGAAACTACCAGGGCCTCACGTTGACTCAGTGTGCTGTGATGTATTGCTAGGCACCAGGATCTTGTGTCTGTGTTTCTAGGCAGCTTGTTATGACTTATTGCTAGGCTTGAAATTGACAGAAAAAGCAGATTCTTGTGTGAGAGAAGCCCGCTAGGGGCCGCAGAGTTTGGGGTTCCTCAGGCTTCTTAGACTGTACTTTCAAAGCATGTGCTAAGTTAACCCTTCCCCTGTGAATGGAGATTTCCAGAATTCCTAATTATTTATAGGTGTTCCCATGTGTGTCTGCATGTCTGTCTGTGTGCATAAAATCATCCCAGCTTATAAAGAATGCACTAATTTCCTCTTCACTGGCAGGTGAAGGAAGTGTTCACTTGGTTGCATATTTCCTAATGCTCGATATTAGGAATGTTTTGTTTGGTTTTATGTTTTTCTATCTTTTGGGTTAAAATGTTATCCATATCCACCCGTGTCACACTGGCTTCCTCATGCAGTCTGAGATACAGTACGAGGGCTGCTGTGTCAGGTCTTCACATGTGTTATTCCCTTGGCCTTCAGTGCTCTTCCTTCAGAGACTGTTTTGTCAAGTATCAGCTCAAGTGCTACCCCTTGGAGATTTCCTGGACATCTTTCTCTCCTGGCTGTGCCTGCTCTGCTATCATCCTCCTTATGCTCTTTCTTTTAGTTTTGTCATCAGCTCGCTTTACCTCTTTTTTATTTTTATTTTTATTAATTTTAGTTTATTCACTTTGTATCCCCCCTGTACCTCCCTCCTCCCAGTCCCACCCTCCCTCTTCCCTACCCTTATCCCTCTCCCAGTCCACTGATAAGGGAGGTCCTACTCCTCTTCCCTCTGATCCTAGTCTATCAGGTCTCATCAGGAGTGGTTGCATTGTCTTCTTCTGTGGCCTGGCAAGGCTGCTCCCCCCTCAGGGGGAGGTGATCAAAGAGGAGGCCAATCAGTTCCTGTCAGGGACAGTCCCTGTCCCCATTACTATGGAGCCTACTTGGATACTGAACTGCCATAGGCTACCTCTGTGCAGGGGTTTCAGGCCATCTCCATGAGTGGTCCTTGGCTGGAGTATCAGTCTCAGAAAAGAATCCTGGGTCCAGATTTTTTGGTTCTGTTGCTGTCCTTGTGGAGCTCCTGTCCCCTCCAGGTCTTAATATCTCCCCCTTCTTTCATAAGATTCCCTGCAGTCTGCCCCAAGTTTGGTTATAAGTCTCAGCATCTGCCTCGATACCCTGCAGGGTAGAGCCTTTCAGAGGCCCTCTATGGTAGGCTCCTGTCCTGTTCCTTGTTTTCTCCCTCCTCTGATGTCCATCTTCTTTGCCTTTCCGAATGGGGATTGATCATCTTAGCCAGAGTCCTCCTTCCTGATTAGCTTCCTTAGGTATACAGATTTTAGTATGTTTATCCTATATTATATGTCTAATAATCCACTTATGAGTGAGCACATACCGTGTGTGTCTTTCTGCTCCTGGGATACCTCACTCAGGATGATCTTTTGTAGAACTCACCATTTACCTGCAAATTTCATCATTTCCTTGTTTTTTATTGCTGAGTAATGTTCCATTGTGTAGATGTACCAAAATGTCTGTAACCATTCCTCAAAGAACACTGTCGTCAAAATAAAACGACTGCCTACAGATTGGGAAAGGAACTCAAGAAGTCAAACAGCAACAAATCAAGTAATCCAACTAAAAAATGGGGTACAGAGCTAAACAGAGAATTCTCAATAGAGGAATATCGAATGGCAGAGAAACTCTTAAAGAAATGTTCAATGTCCTTAGTCATCAGGGAAATGCAAATCAAAACGACCCTGAGATTTCACCTTATACCCATCAGAATGGCTAAGATGAACAACTCAAGTGACAACACATGCTGGAGAGGATGTGGAGAAAGCGGAACCTTCCTCCATTGCTGGTGGGAATGTAAACTTGTACCACTTTGGAAATCAATCTGGCGCTTTCTCAGACAATTAGGAATAGCGCTTCCTCAAGATCCAGCTATACCACTGCTAGGCATATATCCAAAAGATGTTCAAATATTCAATGAGGACATCTGCTCAACCATGTTTGTAGCAGCTTTATTTGTAATAGCCAGAAGCTGGAAACAGCCCAGATGCCCCTTTACCTTGACTAATAGGAGATACTATCTTCTATTAGCTTTCCTTTCCTTCTCTCCCTGCAAGAACTTTATCTCTTGTTTTCTAGGGCATTGAATGATGCCTGGCATGTAGTTGTCAGTCGATACATACTATAGTATGAATAAACAAGTGCCCTCCTCTCAACTAGAAATAAGGTCTTCAAACCTGCTGAGGAGGTGGCTCAGAGCAGAGTGCTTGGCTGGTGTGCATGAGGTCGCAGGTACAGTTCCTGCTGGTGGGAAAATCTTTTAAGCTGGTTTGTTTTTAATTGCATTCCCCTTTAAAAATTACTTGCAGTCAGGATTAAAAATTCTTCTTGTATGAATTGCTGTAAACCACCCGCATTTATTAAAACATATGTCTAGTATTGATTCATAGCCTGCTTGTCATAGCCTCCATACATTTATGCATTTCTATTTTTGTGCCTGTGCCAGTCTTAAACTGAAGAACTTCTGTCTTTCAGCTTGCTCTGTTATTTTAGCTATGAGCCTGAGAGGCTCTCCCTAGTGGCATTCTTGGCATTGTTTATATTCAGCCACTTTTACTAGTTATGCAAGTTATCATAGGCATTTTCTTCCACCTGCTAAACACTTGTTTTGTGCTATTATTACATTTTCCTTATGTTAAGGTTTCAACTTCTGTCTAATTCACTACTTTTCTTATCTGGGCTCCCTTCCATTCATAATCTTATGAATACTTGATTATATTTGGTGTTTTTTTTTTTTTTTTTTTTTTTTTTTCCATCCACACTGTCCTTGGAGTCCTTCCTCCTGGCCCATGTGGTTTCTTTTCCACACTAACCCATCATGGCATCCTCCTTCCTTCTTTCTTCCTGTCCTGTTTGTCTCTTGCCCATGATTTTCCTGTTCCCCAAACCTGGGAACCTGAGCCACACCTATTCCATTCTGCCCTGCCCAGGATTTAGGCCTTTTAATCAACCAATCAGGTATAATTTCTTAGGCAGGTTTATACAACAAGAATAGGTGTATCTGGGCAGTAACGAGATCTTGAGCATCTAAATACAAGCATCAGACCAATCTCTAACAGACATGTCTATTAGCCCCTCACATCTTATGACTCTTTGTGAAGTACATGTTCATCTCTTAAGCTGAACATAAGAAAATACTTCTAGGGCAATTACTGTTTGCAGGTACTGAGCAGGGAATGAGGGATGCAAGCCTGAATGGAACGACAATCTAGTAGGAGAAGCAGATACAGAAACCACTGTAGCATGAGGAAGATGCCATGTATGATAAGAGCATTTAAAAAAGAAAAGAAAAAAAAAAAAACCACCTCTTTTTCTCTATACTCACTTCTCTAGGCAAATGTATCGGTTTTCCACATGTAATTTTTCTTCATTCTCTGGCCATTGGTTGCCACACCTATAGTTGAGCTCAGTTCACAGACTACTGAGCATTTGCACAGGCTCCACAGGCTTAAGGGCTTCGTCATAGACAGCCATTCCTTACTTCAGTCACCAGCCCCAGTCTTTGGTTGTGACTTATGATTTATACATATGACCGGCTATAAATTGTGCATTCTCCTAGAGTGGCTTACAAGTGAAACATTTTTCTTGCTATTATTAGTTGATTTAAAAACAATTCTCATGGATTTCATGAGGTAAAGGAAATAGACGAGATACATAAAGTAAGCTATTGGGAGGCGGGGGAAACTCCCATGCCCCCAGTAGGTTGATTCTCTGCCCAGCATCTTCTTGGGCTTGCCAGTCTGGGAGTTCTCCAGACGTGGAGAACTTCATTTTGGAGGCTTCATGATATGGATGCAACGACTAAACCTTTGGTGATTTAGCTCATTTTTAGCCTCTTTCCTGTATTGGGAGGTATGGGATGAGACTGAAAATTCCAGCTCACTAGTCAGGGGTTAGTTTTTTTGGCAGTCAGCTTCCTTCCTTCATTATTT